ATCACCAACTACAGGATTATTATTCAGTAATCAAACAGGAGGAGGAGATAAAATTGTTAGTGTATTTAAAAATGCTACAAATTACCTAACTTTACAAGGAAACAAAATTAATGCCAATGCCACAAGCGACGATAGTGTTGTGGATTTGAACCTAAACCCTACGGGGAATATTAATATGAATAATGATTTGCCTGTGAATAATGTAAATATTGCAACTAATGTAACAGTAGGAGGTGAAATTGACATAACAAGCAATTTGACAGTAAAGGGGGATATTGAATTAACAAACGGTAACACAAGTATTGAAAGATATACTAATGCTATTAAATCTAATATATCATTGGATTTATCAATTAATGAAACCGCGAACGCTATAAGATTAATTAATGGAACTACTGACGATACTGACACAAATACATATATAGAATGCAATAATACAACAGGAGGAACAACATTTTTTAAACCGACATATTTCAAGGACAATATATATTATGAAACTGATAATTTCAATATTCCTAATAATTCAGGACTTACAATTTACAAGCCAACAACAGACGCCAGTAATGTTGTAGCCATTGCTAATAATAGCGGGAAATTAAGATTTAGAGGTTTTAGTATTGATGCTTATAATACCAATGACACATCGCAACAGCTATTTTTGAATATGAATAATTCCAACGCGGTGAGATGTAATAAATTAGGGATAGGAGCTAATGCCGTTGTAGATGTTCTTAACGTTAATGGTGGCAATTCTAACTTTAGTTCTACTGTAAGATTTAACGGCGCTACTACTTTTAACAATGACATCTGAATATGGAATAATAGCAAAATATACAGAAGAGCAGACGCTAATAATTCATTAAATCTAATAACAAATGACGAAATAAATTTCTCAGTTCAGCCAAACAGAGCAACCGATCCGACAATAGGAACTATAGCATTACAACTAACCGACACTAACGGGATAACATTAAACAGAGCAGTTACAAATAATCTAACTTTTAACAGTGTTGGTCATATAACAGCGGAAGCAAATTTTAATGTATGGGGAGAAATATTATTTCAGCATTCATCAGGAATAAAAGAAGCATTAAACGGTAGTGATTATGATCTANNGACACAGACAGAGCAATTAATTTTATCATCGGAACTATAGGAAGCACACCGGAAATTCAATTGACAGAAGGCAAAGTGAATTTACTAGGAAATTTAGAAATAACACACGATGATATAACAGGACAGCAACGAGTATTAATAAATAATCCAGATGACAACGGATGGATAAGATTAAGTAATAATAACTTATCAACATTAGACGCAACAACAACAGGTGTTGATGTTTATGGTGACCTTTCATATACAGGGTCGTTAATTCCTTCACATCGGATAAAAGGTTAAAGAAAGACATAAAAGAAGTGAATAGAAAAAAGGCAGTAGAGTTAATAAAGTATATTAAGCCGAAAACATATCATTTTCATGATGACAGACAACAAGGTAAATCGTGTATTGGTTTTATTGCTAATGATTTTATGGAAACAAAAAAGATGCCTGATGAATGGCAGAATGTAGTAAAAGAAGGAAAAGATTGCTGTTTGAAATTTGATTACACAACATGTGTACCAATCTTATGGAGTGCTTTAAAATATACTATGAATGAAAAACGAAGAAATGAAAGAATTATTCAAAGCAATGAAAAAGGAAATGGCCACCATGAAAGGGGAAATAACAAAGTTGAAGAAGAAAGTAAAAACTAATAGTGATAGCGATTAAAATTAATATGTGTTGTTCTATATGAGTGAGTTTCAAGATCAGTATAAAGTGTGTATGGAATTAATAAAACAAAAAAGTAGAGAAGTATCGGAAACGGATATATTATTAACTGCCATGAAAGACCTATTACAAAAATTGGAGGAAGAAGAAAAGAAAGTAGAAGCACTAAAGAAGAAAAGAAAATGCCCCTGCTTCAGTTTTACTGATTTACATTGTTGCCCAGTATCATTGTTTTTATAGTTAATAATATTATTAAGATATTATTAACTATCTCCTATTTCAAAGCGCTGTTCAAAGTTGATGAAAAACATATTACTAACATCTTTAGCATTGGTGTTTATGTAGAAGAAGGAGTAAGGCGCAAAATTCACGGCTTTCTGATACATTTCGTATAACGTGCTTTTATCCACCAAGGCGGAATTCTCTTCCAAAAATGCATTGGCTTCGTTCATATTCTTCAGTCTGAAGATGAATAAGGCAGATGCATTTAATCTAATGATGGGAGCCAATACATTGTATTGTTGAGTAGATAAAATACATGATATTGCTGAATGACGCCCTCCAGTAAATAGTCCATGAAGAATATTGGAGTATCTTACAAATTTTGAGTCGTCCGCATGATCGTCCACCACTATTAAAATACTGAATAAATCTTTTTGTTTATTCTTCTTCTGNNNNTCTATGATCTTCTTTAGTGCCACCGGATCGTATTCCTCGTAATACAGTTGTTCTTTTTCTGCATCTACCTTCATTACATCCCTTATGTATTTTTTTATTGCCGACCAAGTGTCATCAACATGAACACTGGGCGAGAAGATGTATATTCTCTCAAAGGATCCTCTGTAAATTTTTTAATATCAAGTTCTGGATCAATACTGTTTTACCACCTGTTGAAGAAGCCACGCATAACATCCGCGCGGGTAGCTTCGGCATCATGTCAAACTTGCTGTTTTTATACTTATATTCGGGTATGTCTATCGGTTCTACTTTAGGTATTTCTTCACACATTAACTAATAAGAGAAAAATATCTTTTAATACAATGGAGAAGTATTTAGAAACTATAGAGGAGATTGAAGAAATTGAAAAGATTGTAATTCAAGACACCAAGCTTAAAAGGTGTTGCACCGCTTCTTTAGAATTGCTTCAGGCAGTTCTTAAGTATTTAAAAAAATCTAAGAAAGGTTAATGAGTGACAGTCATAGTGAACCTAACGAAGGTGGCTTCCACTTGAACACGGATGGGTTAAACTGTTTGCCCTGCAAGTGCAGAAGAAAGACTTTTCACAAAGAAACTAAAATAAACAATGAAGGTAAAACAATAATTGAAGATAGAAGCAGATGGAAGATGGGGAGAGGAATAACACCCGATGAAAACGACATATTTAAGACTAGCTCGCAAGATAATGAAGGTGTTGATACTGCGACCACCGGATGGGGATCACGAAAGCCTACACCAGAAGAGAGATTAGAAAAAGTGGAGGAGGATGTTGAAAGGATAGACAAAGATGTAAATATTTTGAAGAATAATTTAAATATTATGGATTAAAATATAGTCTATATTGACAGGCCATCTTGGCATAAATAAAAGGTCGCGAATGCCTCGCGAGGTCTTCTACCGAAGCGTCCCCAATGAAAACAGAAGAAGGAAGTGAGCCAATGCCCCCGTGTGCCTAGCGAGTTCTACAGGTTCATACATAAGAGTTTGGTAATGACACTAATTCGTAATTAGTTTGATTATATCTTAAGGAACCAGTGCAAATTTTCATAATGTCGCATTATGAAAGTGTATATAATAATAATAATGCCAGTAAGAGTAGATAAGATATTAGTTGATTTTGAACCATATACTGAAACAAATAATATTAATACTAGGAAGTGTTATCGCTGTAAGCAAGTCAAAGACATTGACTGTTTTAAGCGTTGCTTTTACGCTGGTAAGCATTCTTATTATTATGTTAAACACACTATGACTTGTTCTGAATGCTTGGATAAATCTGTCAAATAAACCGCGATGCAGTAAATCTTAAGAAAATAATATTTCTGAGGAAAATGACTTAAAGAAATAACAACTTATATATTCTCGTGGTAATGAATGAGAGTGAATATGAAAGTGAGGGTGAATATGAAAGTGAGAGTGAATATGATGGAACGGATTTCTATAGTCAGATATCCAGATTTAATTATTTCAATACATGCGATAAGTGCAACCCAGTTAAGAACATGCAGAAAGCTTTACTAAGTAAGTGTGATGTCTTAAATATTTGTAAAGATCAGATTGTAGATTACTATGGTTGTGAGAAATGTTGTAAGTTAAAAAATTTGTTTGATGATTATATATTACCCTTTACTAAGTTAAACAAATACCCAGAATATGATGAAGTTCATGAAATAATGCGAGATGATGTTCAAAAGAAAGATTATACACTTGAGTTACATATTGAAATGAAAACAATGTATGAGAACCTAGATACATTTGACCTCTATCAATGGCATCAGGAGAAAATTAATCATTACAAAGATGTTTTAAGTGGCTATGCTAATTATTATCAAAGAGTTCATCATATATTCCTTGCAGTAATATACTACTTACAATATCGTGTAAAAATAGACAAACAAGTGCATTATGAATGTTTAGAAGCAACTACAGAGTTCTTAGATGAGATGATAGTTCAAAATTCAAAGTAGATAGTTTCCTCACCAGCATAGTTATAATGTAATCATAATACATAGGCAGTTATATATTAGAATTACAATGTAGTTAAAACCCTTAACCCTAGACCCTGAACCAAATCCTACAAGGACCCCTTTGCCCTTTTTGAGTAATAATGCCACCTTAGAGATAATAGATGGGGTAATGGTTATTCCTAGAATTGTATTGACAATGGTGTAGTAGGAGTGATACATCGGTCAAGTGTAGGGGGGAGTATAGGAATAATCATCTAATGGGTTGGCGGTGGCATTATTAGCCTAAATAGGCAAGGGGGTCCCTAACTTATAGTAGGTACCTGGGGGGTTTAGGGGTCATTATAGCAACTCTTGCGATGTGATGTTTGAATATAGCTGATTTCCAGTGCTCGCGGCGTTCATAACCCCGACAGCAAGTCAGGAACTTCAAAGGCCTCTGAAAGCTGCAAACCCTGAAGCCCTTAGAAACACAAAATTCAACCCTTAACCCTACCCCTCCCCTCTGACAAGAACTGGTGCAACGCCTCCGAAAGCTGCAAAGCTACATTTCAGTGGTGGCGTCGGAGTCCGCGAAGAGCTTCAACTGAGGAGCTCGGGGTTCGGGGGGTATTGAGGGCTTAGTAAACCCGAAACCCTAAACCCGGATAGGCTCCATGGTAGTTCCTTCTTGGGGTTCATATTCAGAATCCTCTAACGTACTCCCCAAAAAGGAACTATTATGGGGCCTATGGGTAGAGCCTAGGGACGGCGACGGGCTGTGTGGAATCCTTAAGGTTAAGGTTGAACACTCACGGTTTGAGAATCTAAGTTCTGGGTGGAGGGTCCAAGCTTTCGGGTTGAGAGGGCTTGGGAATAAACGGGCTCATAGCTCTGAGCCCCAGGCACTAAACCTAAACCCGATACCCTAAAACCGAAAACCTCAATCCTAAATCCTCAACCCTAAGACCTGAACTGGCGACGCCAATCCCTAAATCCTTCACCCGGTTGTGGCTTGGACCTTCGATTCTGGTATTTCTCCAAAACCTCACTGGGCCGTCTGTCTCGTGGCAGCCCGCAACTAAGGTTGACCCCAACGAGTTTGCGGCTCCAGAACCCCAAGCCCTTTAGACCGCGGAATGCCTCAAATCTAGACCGTGTAGAAACCCTAAACCCTAAACCCTAAACCCTATGATCTTTGCCTGCAGAAACCACGGCCTCCGTTGCTGGCCTCTGCGACTCCGCCGAATTGCCACGGCCTCTTTGCCGGAGGTATTGTTGACTACCTCCCTAATCATTTCGTAATGACACCATGCAGGTTGTCTGAGGTCAATGCCCCAGGACTTACTTCAAGAGGATCTCACACAAAAACACACGCACACACGCAGCATTATGTTGATTCGCTTTGCTGGTCCCCATGTTCAGGACTTGCCCTCGGCTCAAGCAGCATCATCAAATGGGCGCAACCAGAAATTTGTAGAACTTGTGGCAAACTTCGGGAGCCGTATGTCGCATTCAGTTTAAGGGCTCTCGTGTCTCCGGCTGCCTGGATATAGATATACCGTATGGTGGCAGCTGGGCGCACCTTTGCAAAGAGACGTAGTCTCCGCTTAGCAGGACCCAGAATCTGAAGCAAAGAACATCGACATCCAATGCACCGCCGGCCGAGAAAGGCAATCGAGGGCCTGCTTGCAACAGCCCAAGGAGGACCATCAGAGCGCAAACGGCGAAAAGGCCTCAGTTGCTTCTGCACCTCTACTATGCCGTCTCTTCTGGATGTTCGTCCTCCCACTCCTCCCCGGCCTATGCTGCTGCTCCTCCCACCATACGAAGACTCCTGATTAGATTTCCACAGCCAGCCTTGCTAGCGCCACCCTTGCAGCTGCAACCTCCCAGATGACAACGGTAAAGTCGAAAACAGTTGCTAGCACTGTGGCCACTAGCAGCACTACAACTGCTGCCACGACCCACGATCATGGTCGTGACTGGGGACCACCCCCACTGCCACTATCCAGCAGCGCTAGTCACTGGTTCTAACAGCACGCATTTCTGGCTAGTAATGCCGCTGTTTGCTGCTGCTTCAACACTGCGACACCGTTCTTGTGGGACCCACCTCGGCCCGGGAAGGCCCAAACAAGCAGCTTGCCGGCTGATCCGGCTCGGGGTTTCACCGGCTTGGGGGTTCTGCACCCCTGACCAAGACTCCGGAACTTACAACCCCTAGACCCTGCCACGCAGAAATCCGACAAACTTACCTATCCCACAGCCTCAAAGTCTTAGATCCCAAGCTCTGCTTCCACCAAGTCACATAGACCTGGAGTCCCGATACGGTGGAGGAGTGGCACGACCGGTGGAAGGCCAGTGACTTGACGCGACATACCTCGACCTGCTGCTGTTTAGGCTTAGAGTTTCGAGCTTATAGGTTTGCAATGCCTCTAAAAATTGCTCTAAAGACCCCAAAACCGCTAGGAGGAGAGTTGAGGAGTCGGTACTCATGCTGAGGATAAGTATAAGATATTGGCTATCAACTGCAGGCTGTAGACTGCAGCAACGTGATCCTCACGAGGTAGTGTTCATCGACAGAGGCGACGGGTTAGTTCCATAACATGTGGGGGCTTCCGAAAAAACAGGAACATAATATAGTACCCTAAAGACTAAGATCCTTATCATAAGGACCCCAAAATAAGGTACCCCTCATTTTCGCAAACTCCCATCTGCCGCGGCGTGCCCGGCATGCCCCACAAGGAATGACACACTAACGTAAACTTAGGGACCTCATGTCCGATCCAGACTTTCGTAGCCAGCCTTCCAGGATTCAGTAGCTCGGAACCGTGCCAGGCTAGTAAAGATTAATATTCGAGCCTTAAGAACTATAGAATTATTATAAATAACTCCCAAAATAGTATTGGTAATTATTCTTCAGGCCCCGAGATTGCGTCGTGTTGACGTGATGTCAGACTCGCTTCAAGAACTTCATCGGAGCTACTTGGAGGTTCATGGGACTTAGTAAGTACAGTTATATGTACCTTAATTGGGGTTATAAGTAGTTATAAGTATAGTTACCTTATTTATAACCCTAGTTACTAAGTCATGAACCTTTAAGTACCCCCGTCGCAACCAAGCGACTCCGCACGTCATCGTCAGCGGCGTCATCGGACGCGACTGAGCAAGAACATTCCTGAGGTGCTTGCTCTAAAGCCGTGAAACTTACAGGTTCAGGGAGCGAAATCAGTGCCCGACACATCAGGGCCAGGCCTTCGGCGGACCGGCTGACTCGCTGACTTGTAGTCTCCAGACCAGTGACAGGGCTGTCTTTTCTAAAAGGGCTTAGCTTAGGGCATGAATTGCCAGGACAAGCGGCCACTGAAAGCAAGAGCTTTGTTGTCTTTTCTGTCCAGTTACACTTACTACCTACGTCTCGTCTGAAAGCTGCAAGTCCGGCTTCATGTTTGTCGGCAAGGCTCTGCCGGTGCACTCAAAAAGATCCGCACATCCTCCACCTCATCTTCCTTTGCACAAGCAGCGATGATTGAAACCCCGTACTTGGCTCATGTGCCTCTATACGACAAAATCCTCCATGGGTGGCATCGGTTGTGGGTGTGGCTTGCGCACATGCGTCTGCCATGAAGGGTAGGTAGGTAGGTAGGTAGGTAGGTAGGTAGGTAGGTAGGTAGGTAGGTAGGTAGGTAGGTAGGTAGGTAGGAAGGAAGGAAGGAAGGCAGGAAGGCAGGTAGGTAGGTAGGTAGGTAGGTAGGTAGGTAGGTAGGTAGGTAGGTAGGTAGGTAGGCGGTGGTAGGTAGGTAGGCAGGTGGGTAGGTTGGTAGGTAGGTAGGTAGGTAGGTAGGTAG